GCCTTCTTGGCCACCTGGGCACACTGCTGGTTCATATTCAGGCAGCTGTCAACCTACAGCCCCAGGTCCTTTTCTGCCAGGCAGTTTTCCAGCCACTCCTCCCCAAGCCTGTAGCATTGCATGGGGCTGTTGTGACCCAAGTGCAGGACCCAGCACTTGGCCTTGTTAAACCTCATACAGCTGGCCTCGGCCCATCGATCTCCATTGATCCAGCCTGTCCAGATCCCTCTGCAGGGCCTTCCTTCCTTTGAGCAGATCAACGCTCCCGCCCAGTTTGGTGTCATCTGCAAACCTACTGAGGCCGCACTCAATCCCCTCATCCAGATCGTTGATAAAGATATTAAACAAGATTGGCCCTGAAACTGAGCCCTGAGGAAGACCGCTTGTGACCAGTCACCAACTGGACTTAACTCCATTCACCACAACTCTCTGGGCTCGGCCATCCAGCCAGTTTTTTACCCAGTGAAGAGTACACCTGCCTAGGCCATGAGCCACCAGCTTCCCTAGGAGAATGCTGCGGGAGATGGTATCAAAGGCTTTACTAAAGTCTAAGTAGATGACATCCACAACCTTTCCCTCACCCACTAGGCAGGTCACCAAGTCATAGAAGGAGATCAGGTTGGTCAAGCAGGACCTGCCTTTCATGAACCCGTGCTGGCTGGGCCTGATCCCCTGATTGACCTGCACATGCTTGTTGAGTGTATTCAAGCTGAACTGCTCCATAATCTTCCCTGGCACTGAGGTCACGCTGACAGGCCTGTAGTTCCCCAGATCCTCCTTCTGGCCCTTCTTGTAGATGGGTGTCACATTGGCAAGCTTCCAGTCATCTGGGACCTCCCCTGTTAACCAGGACTGCTGATAGATGATGGAGAGTGGCTTCAGCTCCCTCGGCACTCTCGGGTAGATCCCATCCGGCCCCATAGACTTGTGAGCGTCCAGGTGGTGCAGCAGGTCATTAACTGCTTCATCCTGGACTATGAGGGCTCCATTCTGCTCCCCGTCCCTGTCTTCCAGCTGAGGGGGCTGAATACCCTGGGGATAACCGGTCTGGCTATTAAAGACAGAGGCAAAGAAGGCATTAAGTACCTCAGCCTCTTCCTCATCCTTGGTGACAATGTTCCCCTCCGCATCCAATAAAGGATGGAGATTGTCCTTGGCTCTCTTTTTGTTGTTAATGTACTTAGAAAAACATTTTTTATTATCTCTTAGAACAGTGGCCAGATTGAGTTCTAGCTGGGCTTTTGCCTTTCTAATTTCCTCCCTGCATGACCTAACGAGACCCCTGTACTCTTCCTGAGTTGCCTGCCCCTTCTTCCAAAGGTGGTAAACTCTCCTTTTTTCCCTGAGTCCCAGCAAAAGCTCCCTGTTCAGCCAGGCTGGTCGCCTTCCCCACTGGTTCGTCTTACAGCACATGGGGACAGCCTGCTCCTGCGTCTTTAAGACTTCCTTCTTGAAGAATGTACCTGAAAGTACCTAAATGAGAAAGGAATTAAGACATAAATGCAATGGTTTATTAAAACACAAAAATGCAAGAATTTCCTTTATTTTCAGGCACCAGTCCCATGATGGCTTTTTGCTACTTGTTGCTATTACAGATTTGCTGACCACTGCCTGTAAATGGCCCACTGCTGCTTGTGGCAAAAGCCTTTTTGTCTCCCTGGATAAAGGGCCACATCCCAGTAGTTTAAGGATAGTGCGGAGGTCTCTTATCGCAGCCATGATCCTGCTCATGGAGGTCTGAAGTTGTGCCTGGGGAAGGGGGAGGAAAGGCATTTCCATAAGTTCTCATGCAATTTTTTGTATCTTCTGTGCTTCTCAACACCCAGATCAGTAATTAAAAGTGTATGTTAAATTAAATAAATTAAATTAAGTGAAATTTCTGCAAGTCATGATTTTGCCTGCAATACTGCCTCCTGAGCTCAGCCACATCAGCTGAACTTGGCGCGGGTGCGTGGCCAGCCCTGTGCCCTTCCCTGTGCTAGCAGTGGCAAAAGAGGTGATTTATTTTCAAGGCAGAATCCTATTAGGAACTCCTTTTTCTCTTTTGGTGTTGCAACCAAGGCCAGCTAGAGACGGATCCTCTTGTACCTCCTAAGGTTTTGGGACATTTAGAACAGGGACTGACATCACTGGAGAACATCCTCTGTGCTGGTTCTCCTCAATCTCACCAGAGAGCTCCTGAGACAAGAGGTTTGCAGCTCCAAGGACCATGCACAGTAGCCAATGATGGGGAAAAAAGGTCTAGGGCTGCATGCTGTTTCCCTTCCATCCCCTTTCACAATGATATGCAAGCCCCGCAGAGAGCCAGTTCTTATCCTGGCATCTCCTTTTAGAGATGGCAGGAGCAGCTACAGCTTTCCTGATCCTTGTTGTGAAGCCAGCAGATCAACTGGTGTTCTGCCTCAGAGATGAAGTACCTGGGTATGATCCACATTGTCCCTGGCTGCCAGAAAGAGTGGATGTCCTAACACCCTCAGGATGATTCTGATTCCTTTGTGGCTGAGTTTTTTCCCTTTAGCCTTCACAAAGAACAGGCACTAACATATGCTGAAGAAGCAGAGTTGCTTCTTAGGGGAAAACACGGCAGAGGGGTGAACCAACAGCGCAATAATGGGATGGGATGTGCTGGAGGGGTAGAGCTGCCCTGCAGGCAAAGGGGAGATGCCAGGAACAGCCCAGACTTTGCAGCACACTCAGGTAGCCCCAGCATGCAGGGCATCCCAGAACTGGCATTGCTGCTCTGGGACTGCTGCTCAGAGCTGTCTCCCCAAGATGGGTGCCACCTCTCCCATGCTCTTCAGAGCCCGTAGTGCAAGGTTCATAGGGTAAATCACAGTGGTGATATTTTTCTCTCTCGGTGTCAGGATGATCTGAGCTGCCAGAGAACAGATGGAGAGGCTAGAGTCCTCCTCCAAGCCTTGAAGAACCAAGGTAGAAAGAAACAGCAGAGATCGAATCCTTGTACTTGCAGAGACCCCAGGCATTCCCTCCTGAGAGCATCAGCCCACCCAGCCCCTCCCATGGCCAGGAGGGAGCAGGGTGGAGAAGTGAATCTGCTGGAAGTTGCCAGGCCAGGAATGATGAAATACCCCACTTTCTCTCCAGTGTACAGGGAGTAGAGCTCTCCTCACTGGGGCAGGGCTGAGAGTTGGAGTTCACCAGTCCACGCAGGGTCCTCCAAATGCCTTTCTGCTGAATTCCATAAAAAGAGCACCTGAGTTACTCAAGGCACATGAGGAAGAGACATTTTGGACAGGGAGCAACTGAAAAGGATCAGGAACACCATTTGCTGCACTCCTTTTCCTCCTCAGCTACAATTTCTGAGCGCGTTTGGGCTGCCTTTTTGCAGCAGCACAGCACCTGGATGTCAGCACTTCCATCGGAGTCCTCAGGGCTCCCTCGGCAACAGGACCAGAGCAAAGAGGACCCGTAGCCTGCTGGGCTGCATTGGGCAATGTTGGCAGCAGGTGGAGGGAGGTGATCCTGCTCCTCTGCTCAGCACTACCGAGACACACCTGGAATGCTGGATCCAGTGATGGACTCCCCAGTACAAGAGAGACATGAACATACCGGAAAGAGTCCAGCAAAGGGCTGCTGCTGCTGAAGGGACTGGAGCATCTCTGATAAGAGGAAAGGCTGAGAGAGCTGGGACTGTTCAGCCTGGAGAAGAGAAGGCTCAGGCAGGGGGAGCTTATCAGCGTACTGATAAGTACTGATGGGGAGGAATGAAGACAAGGGAGCCACGCTCTTCTTAGTGGTGCCCAGTGACAGGACAAGAGGTGATAAGCACAAGCTGAAACACACGAAATCTCATCCAAACCCAAGAAAATACTTGTTTGTGTATGCATGTGCATGTAGTGTGTGTGTTGTGTGTATGTGCTTGTGTATTTTGTGTGTGCATGGGGGCGGTGTTTGTGCTGTGTGTGTGTGTTGTGTGTAGGAGTGTGTGTGTGTTTTGTGTTGCAAATGTGGTGTGTGGTTGTGTGTACGGTGCATGCTTTGTGTGTGCTGTGTGTGTGCGTGTGTTGTGTGTTTGTGTGTGTTCAGTGTGCGTGGGGTGGTGGTTCAGGGCTGTGTGTGGCTCCAGCCAGTACTTGGCTCCATGGGGATGCCAAGGGGTCCCAAGAGGAGCCTCAGCCCCAGAGAGGCCCCAATGGGGTCAGAGGCATGTGGCAGAGAGGACTGTGGGGCACATGAGGGTTTATGGGACAGGCATGGGGGAAGTTGGGGGTACCCAGGGGGATAGGAGTTACATGGGAGATCGGGAGACCCTGCAGGAGCTATGGGGCATCCAGGAAAGCAATGTGACACCCAAAGGGTCAGGATACTGGGGGAGAGAGTTGGGTGCACATCCAGGGGATCCAGGGGCACCCAGCGGAGTTGTGGAGCACCCAGGAAAGGGAAGTCTATGGGGCATAGGACAGGTCAGAGGCACTATAGGGGGGCCTATGGGACACCCAGGAGGTTGGGAAAACCCAGGGGATTATGAGGCACATGGGGGGCCAGGTCCACCTTGGATAGGGTTGGGGGCACCCAAGGGGGCTCAGGGGCACCTAGAGAGGGGTAGGATTGCAGGGTTCCCCCACAGAAACTGATGCCGGAGCCCAGGCCTGTGGCATTTCCTTTATTGCAGGCCCTAACAGAGCCCCCAGTGGGAGGGAGAATCCACGTTCCCACCTACAGCCCCTCCAAGACAAGCCTCACGGATAGGTGTTCTGGAGGTGCACGGGCAGCCCGTTAATGCAGGCAACACGCACGTGGTGCTGGAGCTGCTGGGCCCTGTAGTTACAAGGGGGCCAGCTGTTTCTCGTCCGCAGGCGGCAGGCTGTGATGTTCATGGTGTTTGGGGTGCTGTAGAACCCCGCTGCGTCAGGCGTCTGGCTGCAGGCAGCCACCAGCTGCGCGGCCGGTGCATGCACAAAGCTGTTGAAGTTCTTGCAGGGCTGCCCCTGAACCGTCACCTGCCGGCGCACCAGCATGATCTCGCAGTAGCGGTGCGGTGGTAACGTGGATGTCGGGGGGTAGTCCACGTGCTGCCGCAGGAACTTGCCATAGCGGCTCTGGCACGCCGCCCCTGACAGTGCCGCCAGCACCAGAACCATGCATAGGGCCCAGCCC